TATCTTTTGGTGATCTTTTTATAAATGATAAATGTGATCTTCCCATTGTATTAGTATTGTAGACTGGGTTTTCTTTTTTTCATTTGGAGATGGTAGCTTGTATTTAATTGCATGTGAAAGATTGCTTTTCAGATTGGTACTTTAAGAGTGATTTTTCTTGATTCTGTTTTTCATATTAGGATGCACTGATGGTTTACAAGGAAGCAATACAAAAAATGCCAAGACAGTTTGCTCCCCAGAGCTTATACAATATGATGGGTAAGTGCAGTGTAAATATTTCAGAATGACTCTTGAGGAACTAGGCAGGGTAAAATGAGAGAGTGCTTATCTTAAAATTGAAGTTCAAATTATATAATTAATTATAAAAAATTGCTCAAATAAATCTTAACTCAAGCTTCAGAGTTCAAGTAGCAGCAATAGATGAGCTTGAGAAAATCCAGTAGGTACCTGAGCAGTTACATTCTGAATTTATCTGGCAATGTTCACAGAATCTACTAAGTGTTGCTCATCTAAAGAACTTCCTGTCCAATATTCAAGAACTTCACGTGAGACTAAGACAGCTTTTATTCACAAATGCCCCTAATTTTATTTATTATTGAAATAAATGAGACTGTCTTCATTTTATGCAATAGGTGATGGATCAAGAAACCACTAAGATTATATAAGGAATATGTTATTTTTTTTATTACTTACCTTGGAGAGAAATAAGATGTCCTAATGGGCTCACGGTCCAATTTAAATGCTTTATAGTACAGAATTGACTAGAGTATGATCTGTAATAAGGGAGTTCAGTAGCCTCTCGTCTGGGTCTAGCTAATATCCTCTTTTAAAATGGTGCCAGCAATTTTAGTACACTGCAAAATTGCTAATTAAATTGTTTCTTTTCTGAAAGCTAAATTTTGAATATAATTATAAGAATTGTGCATGTAGACTATTGTCACAAAACTGTAAGAGCTTGTAAGGAGATGTACAAAGGTATATATACAAATATATACAAACTTGTAAGGCAGTATATACATGTTTTAAGTCAATAAATAGACATACTATGGTGGTATATCTAATTATGTGTCTGATGTCACTTTGCCAGTGTGTAGTTTTTGATGAACACTGTAGTCATTTTTCCAGAAAACTGACTGCCAGCATATTAAACTGTATGGTTACAATACCTGAAATCCATACTCTTGTTTTTGGACACATTTTAGTTGATATAAAAAGTCCTGGATGGTTGCTATCAATTTACCAGTTACATGTGTCAGCTTGAATTGATTATCCAATCAAATTTACAAAGAGTCATCATTTTGTTGTGTGAATTGGACATCTGCTTATTATTAATAGTCACTAGAAACTTTTGAAGATGGATTGTCATGTGTAGATATAGCTTGAGAAGTATGATTGCCCTATTTTGTGTGCAAAAGTTCAAAATCTTAATAAAAATATTATTTCCAATAGCAGAAGTTGCAAAACTATGGCCATTATTGTTTCTGCTCAGACAGTTCTTTCAGTATACAAGAAGTGTGCTACCCTGTCTCCTGAATGGATTTATCCTATAAAACTACTGCTACATATAAAGTACTTTACTGAGTATCCCAAATCTCAAATTCTTTTCAACTATATATGTAGGCTGAGAGGATTGTTCCTGCTTGCTTTATAAGAACAGTTCACAGAGCCCAACTTCCTCTTTTTCCTAGTAGCTGGATTAATTAAACAAAGCAGGAAAGAAACTCAGAGATCACTTTTGTTTTCTCTCAGGCTTGGCTGCTGCTAGGGTTTGTTCTTCTATTTTGTCCAACATCTTTACTTTAGACATTCATACTTCATTTATTTTCTGGTAGAGTAGTAATTAAAGGTCAGCAGAGCTTACTTAAACCCTTGTCAGAAGAATCAGTGTCAGCTGAGAAGCTAGGAAACCATGCCAGGCTGTTGCAGAGCTGCATAGATAAGTACATGTATCCCTAAACTGCATATGTGTCTACCCTTCAGTCATTGCATAGTCTATACTTTAGTCATAGATGCCACATGCCTCTGGCTTCAAACTAGGTAGCTTAGGTGTTGCTACATTTGCAAAGTTGAATAAATAATAATTGGATGATTAGTAATTGCTGATTTCTGAGATGCCACAGCCCCATTATGACAGTGTTCTGGCTAGCTGTTTTAAAGTTTATTCAGGGAGAAGTATACAAGCTGCAGTAAGAGCAGTGTAGATATAACATTAGAATTTTTATGTAATCTAAAAATCTAGATATATACAGGGTACGGACACACAAGCAAGTTGCCACAAGGAGAATCAGGGTATTTGCAGTTCATCAGTAGATCTTCATAGTTATCCCTGTGCCTGCTCTTATTCCCCACAGTCAATAAAGGTGAAAATGCTGTAGCTTTGCGCTCAAGTGAAATAAAGAGAAGACATATTAGCAGTTAATTTCTCCAGTTGTTTTCCTCAGCAGCTTCTTCTATGTAGAAATTACTTCTAAATTTACTAATTAAATCTTCTTTTTTAAATTTTTTCATTAATAATTCATTTTAAAAATTGTTTTAATGTTAATTTAATTTCACTTTCTATTTTCACAATAGTGTTTTCCTTTGTGAACCATATCTATATAATAGCAGAAGAGTGGGTTAACTTCCATTTACTGTAAGATGGATGTGCTCACACGTTGTTATCACAAAGTATCTTCTGTGCAGTAAACCAGCCCTCATTTACAACCTGGGAATTTTGTTCTTGTGCCCATGTCCTTACTTTTATAGGATGTGCTATAGAAAAATACTATATACTTGCAGCCTGCAGTTCTTTTACTGCACTGTGCATCAACAGGCCAACTGGGATTCATAGATTCATAGATGTTGGGTCGGAAGGGACCTAAGCAGATCTTCAAGTCCGACCCCCTGCCCTGGGCAGGAGAGTATACTGGGCCCATATGACCCCAGCTAGATAATTATCAAGCCTCCTCTTAAAGACCCCCAAGGTAGGAGCCAGCACCGGTTCCCTTGGAAGTTGGTTCCAGATCCCAGCCATCCTGATTGTGAAGTAGTGCCTTCTAATATCCAGCTGAACCTACTCTCAGTCAACTCGTGGCCATTATTACTTGTTACTTCGGGAGGTGCTTGGGGGAACAGGGTCTCTCCCATTCCCCGCTGGTCCTCCCTGGTAAGTTTATAGATGGCCACCAGGTCCCCTCTCAGCCTTCTCTTATGAAGGCTAAACAGGTTCAGGTCCCTTAGCCTCTCCTTGTAGGGTCTGCCCTGCTGGCCCCGGATCATGCAAGTGGCCCTCCCCTGGACCCTCTCAATGCTGGCTACATACTTCCTAAAGTGCAGCTCCCAGAACTGGACACAGTACTCCAGCTGTGGCCTGACCAGTGTTGCGTACAGGGGCAGGATCACCTCCTAGGATCTGCTCATGATGCATTTGTGGATACATGACGAGATGCGATTAGCCCTACTGACCGCATCCTCACATTGGCAGCCCATGTTCATTTTGGAATTGATAATGACTCCAAGATCTCTTTTTGCCACTGTGCTTTTGAGAAGGGAGTTCCCCAACCTATAGATCTGCTGCTGGTTCTTCCTCCCCAGGTGCAGTACCTTGCACTTCTCAGTATTGAATCCCATCCTATTCTCATTTGCCCACCCCTGTAACCTGTCCAGGTCCAGTTGTATCCTGTCCCTCCCTTCTAGTGTGCCCACCTTGCCCCAAGTCTTGATGTCGTCCACGAATTTAAACAGGGTGCTATTTACCCCCTCGTCCAAAGTGCTAATAAAGAAATTGAACAGTGTGGGCCTGAGGACAGAGTGCTGGGGGACTCCACTGCCCACATCCCTTCAGGTAGAATATGACTCATCCACCACCACTCTCTGGGTGTGGCTCCTCAGCCAATCTGTGACCCATCTGACTGTGTAGGCATCAATGCCACAGTCGCCTAGCTTTTTAATTGAGAATGGGGTGGGAGACAGTCTCAAAGACCTTCCTGAAGTCTAGAAAAGCGATATCCACCATGACACCTGCATCTCATGATTTTGTGACCTGATCATAGAAGGCAATCAGGTTGGTCTGACAGGACCTGCCCCTAATGAACCCATGCTGGTTGCCCCTGAGCATCATCCCCGCTGCTGGTCCTTCCCAGATGTACGCCTGGATAATCTTCTCAAAGAGCTTCTCCAGGATTGAAGTAAGACTAATGGGCCTATAGTTGCCCGGGTCCTCCCTTCTCCCTTTTTTGAAAATGGGGACCACATTGGCCTTCTTCCAGTCATCTGACACCTGGCCAGAGCACCATGAGTGTTCATAAAGCTGTGTGAGGGGCCGCTTGATAACCCCTGCCAGGGATGTTTAAGCCTGTTTTAATATTTAAGCAAAAATAACTAATGTTAGCTACAGTGGTATTATTTAATACATATTCATTTTAGATATGCTTGCCTGCTGCTTACTTACAAAATTGTATCAGAACAAATATTTGAAGTATATAAACAACTGGAAACTTGAGGGATTGGGATCTGCCAGTGCTCCTATGTGTAAGTGCAGGGACGTGATAGTGAGCTATGCTTGATATCCCCTAGGCCAGGGACAAAAATTACACATAAACCAGTAAGTGATCAGAAACCAGTTCAGATCTGTAAGACAACAGAAATTCAGTACTCATAAACCGCTTTCAAAGTGGCTGAAACTGTAGTACCAGACTTAATTGATTTAGGCTAAATCAGCTTATTGAACTTCTGTCCTAGATCCCCTGCAGATTCCGTTTGACTCACAGTTGCCCAGCATTACAGGATGTTTACACTTCCCCCACAATCCCCACCTGGCAGGCTGGGTGGGCTAGCCTTGGCCCAAGCTGTCTGCTCCAGCC